GTTATATGAACTTATAATATTGACTATTACACATCCCATGAAATACGTACATGCTGCAGTTACATTTACACTTCATCTTGTAACACTTGTCCAATGGAAAGAAATATCGTATTCGACACTATAAACCTATGAATTGTTATGTAAACAATGTTCAAACAAACAGGAGATTATCAAAGGTTCGTTCATACATGTTGTGGCCTATATTTACGTATAATATCATTTTGAACATTGACAAATATCCAAAGTGAAATTAATTGTGTAAATAATGTATAAAAGATATGCAAAGTCTACATCATAACTGAAACTGTAAACAGCATGGTACAATGATCGTGTGCACTCTCATTGAAGGACCTTCACCTCAAAGAAATTACCTAATATGCACAACAATGTTGCGTATGACATCACTCCCGGTGACCGACTTTTACAAAATGGCGTGTTGACTGTCAGCAGTACGCGGGATTTTACGAGGGGACTTTCGTTGATTCAGGGATCGTATACACATAAATGTGACATGTAAGTAATCAGAAACATTCTGACAATCTATACTGAACATCAAAAGTTCCTGTGACATTGAATAAGATTTAATCCAAAGTTATGTTTTTTTACCAAATATGAAACAGTTTCGGTTTGCAACAGATAAAAGACTCCTGTAAGTGTTCAAATGGTTTAATTTGCCATACTGACTTCAGAAAATGCGTGATTTCATAAAAAACAACAACAACATGAACATGCCAAAATGTCAATTTACAAATCAATAGCGTGTGTGTCCCCTCTGGTTGCGATGCAAGAAACACATCTTCGTATCATGGAATGGACCAGGCGTCGCACAAAGTCCTGTGGGATTTCTGTTCATATTTGCTGGAACATGTTTCGAAGTTCCTGGAGTGTCTGTGGAACACGTGCATGGTTGACGTCGAAGTTGCCGATCCATCTCATCCCACATGTTCTCGATTGGTGAGAGATCAGGGGAGCGAGCCGGCCAGGGGATGACATTCACGTTGTTTTGTTGAAGAGAATCCTGAACAAGTCGAGCAATATGAGGCCAGGCGTTGTCATGGTGATAGGTAATACCTGGGCCATGACGACGCAAAAACGGTAGAATAACAGGGCCGATGATCTCGTCGCGGTAGCGCTGTCCATTGAGATTTCCCTCTACCACTATCAAACGGGTCCTCTGTCTTGCTGTAATCCCACCCCATACCATAACGCTGCCGCCCCCAAACCGATCTTCTTCCATGACACAATGATTGACGTGAGGTGAAAACGAGACTCGTCAGTGAATAGAACTTGTCCCCAGTGCATGGCCGTCCAGCGTAGACGCTGTCTGCACAACTGTAGACGTGCTTGACGGTGGTTTCCTGTCAAAATGGCGGGTCTTCTGGCGACAATCCCTGCACATCTGAGGCGACGACGCATGGGTTGTGAAGATATTCGTCGAAGGCCAGGGATGCTTTTTGCAGTCACTGTAGCTGGCTGGAATCGATTTCGTAGGTGTGTTGTTCGAATCCAGTTGTCTTGTCGATTATTGGTTACGCGTGGCCTGCCACTCCGAGGATGGTCTCTGACTGCATTCGTCTGTTGCCAACGTTGCCATAAACACCTAATGGTGTTTCTGTGGACGTTAAATTGTCTTGCAACATCACGTTGACTCGATCCTGCTTCAAGCATACCAATAGCTCGCAGACGCTCATTTTCGGACAGGCGCGACATTTCGTAATGTTGAATAATTGCGTAATTTTGTTGTTTTTCTGAGCGGTTGTTGTCAGCACGATGCTAAACAATGCATATGGAATCCCATCAACGCACATGTTTTTATACCCATTTTTGGGTAGTGAAATGCATGGGGCTTGCATAAAAGTCAACTTTTGCATGGAATACATGCTTTTCTGTAGCAGTTGCGTTTTTGTGACTTGATTCCATACATGTACTACAATATTGAAAACCAAACTTTACTTGTTTGAACAATACACTAAAATATTGGTGTCACAGAAAATTTTGTTGTTCAGTATATGTACTGTTATTTGTTGTTATAATTTTCATTGAAACTAACGGAAATAGTCAGAGATTCCGATAAATACCGCTGTCGTTGTGCATGATTTTGCGTCAGTCATGGCGTCACACAGGACGGTAACTTTGACAATTTCTGTTGAAAATATCAAATCATTGCAATGTATCTATTTTAAATTCCCTAATTCTTCCTACGATTCTCTTCCCATGCATATTCTGAAAATGTTTAGCCAATATCACGAACGAATAGACGAATGGATAGCTCAAAATTGGAGAAAATGCTACACGGTGTAAAATCTGAATTTTGCTTTGTTTACATTTCAAACAAGTGCAGTTTTTCTAGGACAGCGTTCGTTTTCACACCTAACTTATTTTGCTTGATTTCATCTAGCCACTTTGTATTGGTGACAAAGACCATTGGTCATTTGATTCTAAAATGTATGAGGAATCCAAGGATGTGTGTATCGCAGCTAAGTTTGAAATATACGTGATGTTACAGGCGTCTCATAACCGGTGTACCTGAAACGTGATTTTGTAAACACTATCCAATATGGCGGAAGTATTTTCCAAAACATACGAAACGATTCTAGGGTTATCGGAGACGTTTTGGAATGATCATTGGTGATTTGAAAAAAACCCAGAATGATAGCCGTGATCATTAATATGCTATTTTTGAAATTCATTTCCCCTAGTAGATCTTAATATCCGAATTTTAGATTTCAAAACATGCTGTAAATAACGCAGTGAGTGGTGATTTAGTAATTAGTAAAAAATGGCGGCATTTACGATGTACCTAATTTTCAGAGGTCATTTTCGGTACTTTTGCTTGGCCTAAAATGCCAGTGGATGATATCACAGAACACCTTATTCAAAACTGTGAAGTGTAGTTGTGTGGGTGATGTATTTTGAATTTTATTCGACTTCAAAGTGAGGGTTGTTGAGGTGGGACATGTATGTCCAAATGCCATCCAGGGGGTAAGTGTCCATCACCTATTCGACCCTTTTCGTTCAGTTCCGTAACGGCGTAGGCATGACTAGGTAAATTTGCACTTAGTTCACATTGTGGACGTAGCTCAGTCGGTTAGCTGTCGGGCTAACAATCCGAAGGTCGCGAGTTCGCGTCCGACGGATTCTCACAAAAACTAGCTTCTTGTCTTTAAGACACGTGACTTACGGCAGAGACCGTCCTCATAAGAAGTTGTGGTACTGTATTCTAAAGGTGCTCCAAACAAAATTCATTTACTCAATTTATCACAATGTGGATATACATGTTGTTTGTTGTATAACGCCGCACTCAGCAATATTCCAGCTATATGACAGCAGAGGATGTACATGTAGATCAACCTGAGCATGTTCTGCCGCTATGGCATTCCTCCCTTTCAGGTGTCTATGGTGCCCCAGTTTGTGATGCAGAAATAGTGAGTGAGTGAGTTGGGTTTAACGCCGCTTTTAACAGTATTCCAGTTATATCGCGGCGTGTCAGCTTAATGTGGGAGGAAAGCCCGAAGTGATGCAGGTCTCAGACGTTTACCACTTCGGTGAAACCCACGAGCACGGGTATGGTGCTGACAAACCTAGAAACATAATCAGGGTGAACCGGGATTCGAACCCACAATCATAGGTTTCTGGCGTGCCCAAGGGACGCAACTCTGCACAGCGAATCGTGGTGCCTTAGACGACTGGGCCACCCGTGCCCCTGATGATGCAGAATTAAATCCTCAGTATGTGCCAGGAAGTAGGATTGTGGATTCCAATCCCTATCCATCCTGATTATGTGTCTAGGTTTCTCAGCGCCATACCCATGCTCAGAGGTTTTGCCAAAGTAGTAGAGGTCTTACACCGGCTTCACGTCCCACTGATCACCAAAATTTCGTTAATTAACACCACTCAGCAGACCGCCTCCGTGCTCTAGTGTCTGCCCGGGAGCGGAAGGTTGGGGTTCGATCCCCGTATGCGTCACACCAAAATACCTTTTAAAATGTACTTGTTGTTACCTTGCTGGTGCTCGGCTTTAAGGGGCTAAAACAAGGACTGATCGGCTCGGAGTCAGTATACTATGTGGGGTATTCATGTTAAACTGCGGCATGCCATCCCACTGGGCTAGCACTAAAAGATCCTGACTAGTACAAGTAGACACACAAACAGACATGCATGTACGTAAGTGCAATAATCTTGGATGTGACATCACATTTAACCTCATGTCACCTCACCACACTCGGGACTTTTCCAGCTATACGATCAAGTATGGTCCATACAAACCATTGATTGATATGTCCGACATATACCTGTGGGGGCAAGATCACATGCAGTCAACCAAGTCACCAAGACAAACTACCATCGCGTCTTCCAACCAGCATAAGTTGTTGAGGATGTGAGGTGAGGTGAAATTGGGTTTAACGTCGCGTCCAAGATTATTGCACTTATATAGCGACGTGTATGTGTGTGTGTGGCTGCTTGTACTAGTCCGGACTGATGCCATTTTATAGTGCTAGCTCACTGAGATACCATGCCGCAGTTGAACATGAATACCCCACTCAGACACAGTATACTGACTCCGAGCCGACCAGTCCTTGTTTTAGCCCCTTAATGCCGAGCGCCAGACAGGGTAACAACAAGTACAATCTTTTAACGTCTTTATGTATGACGCGGCCGGGGATCTCCGGGCTGACGCTCTACCACCAGACAACGGGGGCGGTTGTTGAGGATGTAAGGGTTGATCACATCAATGAACCCGTGAAGATTTTGGTTAGAATAGGTCTTCAGCAACCCATGCTTGTAAGAGGCGTCTAACGGGATCGGCTGGTCAGGCTCGCTGACTTGGTTGATGCATGTCATCGTATACCAATTGCCTTGATCGATGATCATGATATCAATCACTGGATTGTATGGTCTAGACTTGATTATTTACAGACCGCCATCATATAGCTGCAATATTGCTGAGTGCGGTGTTAAACAACAAACAATGACAAATACTTGAACAACAAACACAGACATTCCTTTCAATATTTTATTTGTTTTTTCATTATAAATACATGTATATTAACAATAACCATTTAACCATGGTCATCAGCAACAAAATATTCAGCACTTTCTTAACTGTGATATGAAAATGCTATCACATTTGCTCTACATTAATTAATAATTTTAATAGAATCTATAGAATCACAATTCTGATTTAATGCTGAGCACTGCTCCTATATGCGTGATCTATCACAGAGACAAACTGTAGGAATAATATGTGTAAAATTAAAGCATGTCATTACTAACTAAAAGTGTAGGAAAATTATTCATTTTATTAAATCTCTAAGAATATATATGCGACAAAAAGCCTAGCAAAATTTTCAAAACTTCTAACTTTGTTAATAAATCTATTAATTCATTTATTTATTTATTAGTTTTAAGTGATGGAGTAAATAAGGATTGATGTTTTGAGCATTTGGTGTGAGATTCACTGTGGATGTGAAAAATTAAAAAAATATTTCTTTCACTGTCTGTGAAATGTGGAATCTTGCCCCTACAAAACCAGTGTGGATGTGAAAATAGGTTTTTGTTTTCCACACCGAATGTTAATTATATACGACTCCACTCATGATAGGGACATTTTGTTATGTTTCCAAGACACAAAACTATGTCACTTCTAAATGGAAAGACATATCAGATTATCTCTGTCAAACGTTGTGTAGTATATTTTACAAGATTTTCTTATCCGTGCTCTGAATGAGAGAGTGAGTTGGGTTTAACTCCGCTTTTAACAGTATTACAGTTATATCGCAGCGTGTCAGCTACATGTGAGAGGAAAGCCCGAAGTGATGTAGGTCTCAGACGTTTACCACTTCGGTGATACCCATGAGCACAGGTATGGTGCTGACAAACCTAGAAACATAATCGGGGCAAACAGGGATTCAAACCCACAATCATAGGTTTCTGGCTTGCCCAAGGATGGGCTTCACACATTGTACCCATGTCGGGAATCGAATCCGATTCTTCGGTGTGACAAGCGGACGCTTTAACCACTTGGCTACCCAACAGCCCCCAAAGTTTGATGAGGATCTGTAAACCAAGCAATACAACAAACTGACACCCAAAAAGGTCAAGAATATATATCTTACTTAACGAACATAGTTTCATGTTTTTGTCAAGACAAACATGATTTTATTACATAGTTCCTATCTATCGTGAAGATGTCTGATTTTCGATCACAAAAGTTGATACAACTTAATTTCATTTATCCGACATACTTGTTAATCCGACCTAATTATATGCAACCAACTGTGCTGGATTAACGGGACTTGACTGTACTTTGAAAAAGGTTGTCAGAAATTGATTCTGTCTTATCGTGTTGCCGTTCAAGACAAGACTCAAGCTAATTTCTTGAGATTTTCCGCTTTATTTTCATTTGACACCTCTACCATTTTGATTCGGAAGTTATCACAAATTTTATGTAAATACAGGTACATATTCATTCTCTATGCAGGGCTGCTAAGAATAATCAAGTTAGTTTACCAGTCCAATCCATATTTTACCAAATTACCAATTGATTTCCTGTACGGAAACATTGCTAAGTTATCACAAGATTATGTTAAGTACGATTCCATCTGTTCTGTTGAAGAATAAACCAGAGCAATAACCTCGTCAAAGAACACAGATCTAACTGTTCTTATTTTGGTAAACAAGTTTTACAGAATTTGATTGTTGTAACATAAAAATCAACAAACAAAACATGTGTTTGTTCCGGGCAAACATATTTACAATTTTGGGCAAATAAACAACATATGAGCAAAAACAATCTGTTCCCGAAGTTAACTGAGAGATCGATATGAGTTTCATTCAACATGAGATTAACATGAATGAAAACAGGGGCCATTTCCACAAAGCGACAAACAGCGCTAAGACGACCACAACTCCTATACTTTAACATTGACATGTAACAGGTACCGCTAAGATGATCTAACTCCCATAATTTAACTTTGACTAATGTCAGTCATACCGCTAAGACAATAATAATTTCTATACTTTAGCAATGAAATGCGACAGTCAACATGGTCAAAGCACTAAGACAATAGTAACTCCTATACGTTAACAATGAAATGTGACAGTCATAGTGCTAAGACAATCATATCACCTATACTTAAATATGAAATACGACAGTCAAAGCACTAAGACAATCGTAAATCCTATTTTTAAATATGAAATGTGATAGTCAAAGCACTAAGACAATCGTAACTCCTATATCTAAATATGAAATGCTACAGTCAAAGCACTAGGACAATCGTAAATCCTATTTTTAAATATGAAATGTGATAGTCAAAGCACTAAGACAATCGTAATTCCTATATCTAAATATGAAATGCTACAGTCAAAGCACTAGGACAATCGTAACTCCTATATTTGAATATGATATGCGACAGTCAGGGCACTAAGAGAATCGTAACTCCAATTATTAAATATGAAATGGGACAGTCATAGTGCTAAGACAATCGTAACTCCTATACTTAAATATGAAATGCGACAGTCAAAGTACTAAGACAACCGTAACTCCTATACTTAAATATGAAATGCGACAGTCAAAGTACTAAGACAATCGTACGTCCTATACTTAAATATGAAATGCGACAGTCAAAGCACTAAGACAATTGTAACTCCTATACTTAAATATGAAATGCGACAGTCAAAGTACTAAGACAATCGTACGTCCTATACTTAAATATGAAATGTGACAGTCATAGCGCTAAGACAACCATAAATCCCATACCTTGACACTGATTTAACAAGAGTTATAGCCTTAAGATAATCTAACTCCTACACCTTAACATTAACTTATGTAAGTCATAGCGCTAAGATGGTCACAACTCCTGTATTTTAACGCTAACTTATGCAAGCCTTAGCGCTACAATCTCTTTGTGAAACAGGGCCCAGAACATTACGTCACAGCAAGGAAACAGCAGACATCTTTGCGAAACAAATCTAATATGAGGCACAACAAACCACATGGTTGCCATACCCAACAGAAAAAATCCATGTATGTTCTAATGAAAAGATATAAGTTAAAGCGCTGCAACATTGCATCAACGGAAACCACAAAGATGCTGACCTCATCACCTAATGACCTCTGGGCTTCTTTTAGAACATACCAAATTTCATGTCAGATACATGCTTCAGTTATTTCTTACCACCACATCAAATATTTCATCCACTACTCCACATTTGATAGGGATATTTTTACACACAAAAAACCTGATTCTCATCCAGTGTTTTCGAAATGGACATCTGCCCGTAGGACCGAAATTTGTTCTCGGGCTGATAGTTTTAAATTTCAGCAGGCCCTTACGGTCTGCACTTAATTATTATTATTATTATAGTAATTATTTTTCAAGTATTATTTAAGTAATGTGATAAACATAACTTTCACATTTACAAACAGTAGGGTTAGACCTTTCAAATGGTGTATGACATGTAGTTGCAAAGATGTTTCCTGATAGATGTAGGCTTCATCTGTCATTACCGAGTCTCTGGGAACTCGGGGTGATAGCAGTAAAAGCTTATGGTTGACTCGTTGTGTTTTGTAATTTATATTGCAAGGGTTCCTCCCTGCTTCAGCTGCAATGTTTGGGCCTATAGTTTTTCCACTGGGCCTAGTTTTTCCACTGGGCCTACAGTTTTTTCATTGGGCCTACAGTTTTTCCACTGGGCCAAGTTTTTCCACTGGGCCTACAGTTTTTCCACTGGGCCTACAGTTGTTTCATTGGGCCTACAGTTTTTCCACAGGGCCTACAGTTTTTCAAATGTGCTGGCCCTTAAGGGTCTCAGTTTAGTGTTCTGAGTTTCAGACACTGTCCTCATCATATGTCAAATCATATTTAAATACAATGACATATCTGTCATATGATCCCTGTCAAAAGTTGAGTAGTATATTCCCCAAAACTACCTACTACTCTAAAAGCAGAGGAGTATGACATATATATGTTTCTAATAAGCTCAGCTAAGTATTTTCATTATATTAGGGCTATATTCTACTGGAAATGATGCCAAAAGACAACTTTGGGCTTGTAGTTTCTTTGGCAGTTTGATGATAAACCTAATATCCTTAAGTTCACCACCATAAATCTTAGTTTTGATTACAATGAAATTTACAATGGAATAGCTACCCACAAGCCAGAAGCCCGTGTCAAGTGAAATTTCTGGTGAAATATAAGATCATGAACCCATTTCTCCACCCACCAAATTTATCATTTCTGAGACTGATTTTTCTGGTCGTAATTTCAAATTGTAAATAATTTTCACAATGTTTCTATCACTAGAGTTCCACTGACACAGAACATCATGAACAGGAAGGAGATCAATTCCAACATGTCCTGCATGCACGAACAAATGACTTAGCAGCCCATTTCATTCATCAAAATCAATTCAGACTTCAAAATTCAACCAGATGCTAGAAATCTGATTTTTTCGAAAGAGGAAAACGTTCCAGCGATCTCCACATACAGGGAACACATACATGTTCAAACACATAAATGTTCAGACCAACTGTTCCGATAGGACACGACAGAGGTTCAGACAGAAGGTTCCACAGTTCATACATAAATCCATCTAGACATTTAGACTGAGTTCAATCATTTCCCACTGGCCACATGAGACTGACCACTGATATTGAGCTTAGGGCTGGCCCGAGGTCAAGACACGCTCTCCGTGTTCACCGAGTCTAAGAGTCTGCTTCCCATGGATTTGTGGACAACGTTCTCCAGCCGCCTCCGTGCCTTGCGTTCATCCTCCACGTCTTTCTTCAGCTTCTTCTGCTCCTAAAACACAACGAAGTGAGTGAGTGAGTTGGGTTTAATGACGCTTTTAACAGTATTCCAGTTATATCACGGCGTGTCAGCTTAATGTGGGAGGAAAGCCCGAAGTGATGCAGGTCTCAGACGTTTACCACTTCGGTGAAACCCATGAGCACGGGTATGGTGCTGACAAACCTAGTAACATAGTTGGGGGGAACCAGGATTCGAACCCACAATAATAGGTTTCTGGCGTGCCCAAGGGACGCAACTCTGCACAGCGAATCGCGGCACCTTAGACGACTGGGCCACCCGTGCCCCCTAAAACACAAGGAACACGGGGTCAGATGTTGGTTTCTTTGTTGGTTGTCTAACACTGTACTCAGCAATATCCCACCCTCATGACCAGACTATAAATAGGAGAGTCCCGACTTGACAACCAAGTGATTGACATTATGAGCAATGATCCATTCTGTTGGGTGTTACATGGTGTTATTGCTTTGAAAGTGCATTATGTTTTGTAGCTAAATTTGGGATGAACTATGTTATAAAAAATTAACAGACATGGCTTGAAAACCAGGAAAGTCAGTATTTGTAATCAGTCCTTAGCTGATGTTTTCTTACTTTGTGTGTAGATGAGCTTTAGATTTACAGTGCTGGTGTATTAGCAGGGATGAGAACTTTCCACATATCTGTGGCCTTTGTTACATCTGTGAAGATCTGGGGTAGAATAGGTCTTCAGCAACCCATGCTTACCGTAAAAAGGCGACTATGCTTGTTGTAAGAAGCAACTAATGGGATCGGGTGGTCAGGCTCACTGACTTGGTTGATGCATGTCATCGAATACCAATTGAGCGGATCGATGCTCATGAAGTCACTCACTGGATTGTATGGTCCAGACTCAGCCTACTAGGCTTGAATCATAAGAAGATTATTCTTGTCATAAGAGGCGACTAACGGGATCAGGTGGTCTGACTCGCTGACTTGGCTGATGCATGTCATCGTATCCCAATTGCGTGGATGGATCAATCACTGGATTGTCTGGTCCAGACTCGATTATTTACAGACGGCCGTCATGTAGCTGGAATATTGCTGAGTGAATATTGAATATATCCACTAAGCAGTCTTGTACGACAACCATATTACCCCGGGATCCCTCATGGGTTCATGGCCGATGTAATGAAGCTTGACCATACTAACAAGTGGTCGACAGTGTGAGCATATAAACATACACTATCCAGGAGCGCTTATGATTTCTAACAGGGCTTTGAGCAGATATCAATAACTTCAACAATCCACTGCATGTCCTTTGGATATGGAATTCACTATATCATTCAAAAGAACTTTTCAAATTCTAATAAGGCTTTGAGCAAGGTTGTCAGGGTGAGTCTCCATCTTCTCCAAATCAATGAAGCAGTGAAATACACTAAATCCATTTGACAATGTTGGTCTCTCACGTCACAAACTTAACAAAACAGTTTTCCAGTCTGAGACATTGTATGAGGCTACACAATGTTGAGCAGTTGTTAGGTAACTACTACTTTTAGAATCGTAAGCAGTGGTCATGTAACTAGTATCTACACAACGGTAAATGGATTGAGGGTAATTTGTCTCCACACAATGGTAAGCAGTGGTCATGTAACTAGTATCTACACAATGGTAAACGGATTGAGGGTAATTTGTCTCCACACAATGGTAAGCAGTGGTCATGTAACTAGTATCTACACAATGGTAAACGGATTGAGGGTAATTTGTCTCCACACAATGGTAAGCAGTGGTCATGTAACTAGTATCTACACAATGGTAAACGGATTGAGGGAAATTTGTCTCCACACAATGGTAAGCAGTTGTCAGGAAACTAGTATATCCACACTTCGGTAAGCAGTTTCTGTTTAACTAGTACCTGCACATCAGTAAGCAGTTTCAGGTAACTAGTATCTGCACATCGTTAAGCAGTTTCTGTTTAACTAGTATCTGCACATCGGTAAGCAGTTTCAGGTAACTAGTATCTGCACATCGGTAAGCAGTTTCTGTTTAACTAGTATCTGCACATCGGTAAGCAGTTTCAGGTAACTAGTATCTGCACATCGGTAAGCAGTTTCTGTTTAACTAGTATCTGCACATCGGTAAGCAGTTTCTGTTTAACTAGTACCTGCACATCGGTAAGCAGTTTCAGGTTACTAGTATCAGTGAGTGTGTATGGTCTTACACAGCTTTTAGCAATATTCCAGCAATATCACAGTTGGGAACATGGAAATGGGCTTCACACATTGTACCCATGTGGGGAATCGACATGGTCTTTGGTGTGACGAGTGAACGCTTTAACCACTAGGCTACTCCACTGCCTGGTTTACAAGTATCAACACAATGGTAAGAGGTTGTTGGGTAACCAGTACTTACCTGCTCCAACTCTTTGACCTTGTCCTTGAGGGAGTAGACAGTATCTACCAGAGTCCTGTAACACAAACAATCAGAGTCACAGTCACAGTCACAGTCACAAACTAATCATCATGTTTGAGGAGGAATTTCATCAACTGACAATAATCAAGAATAATAAATTTTAGGGCTGCAACGAATACACTATGAGGCGAATACGATTCATATCATGAACATAGGGTACGAATACGAATATTTATTCACGAATACAATAACAAGTCAGCAGCTTTTGTAAAATTTGTTATATTCAGTGACACAATAATAACATAAATTATTTGACATGGTTTGTTAACTATTAATATATTATACATTTATATACTGCACTTATCCAGGTACTAGTATCTGCTCAAATGAGACAATGAACAATGACCACAATACTGTCAAATTAAATATTATAAGAGTGTTGTCTTTTAAGAAATCCATCATATTATAATATGTTCTTATGGATATTTTTAGGTACAGGGTATGTAAATGCACATGATTGCATATTCATAAATATTCAATTCAAGTGGCCACGAATAACGAATTCAATTCATGAATGGATACGGTTCGATTCACGGAATACGAGAGTGAATCGTAACAGCCCTAATAAATTGTAACTGAAAAAAACTTCTGAAACATTGAAAATTTCCTTTTCTATTAATTTTAATACTTCTGTATTGGGAGTTTATCAAATCAGAATATCACTGAATGGTAAAAGTTAGAGGGGGATCATGGGGAAATGGACAAGCATTTGGGGAGGGTCACGGAAAAAGGACATTCATTAAGTGATAAAAAACGACTTTCACCAACCCACGCTGTGGATTAAATGTCTCCTCAGCTTGGAGAGTGAGAGTAACGTCTGTTTACAATACTGCAAGCACTGGGCCTTACAAACCAGTGGCCGACAGCTTGAGCAACAATCTACAAAGTTGGCTAACAATGACACACAATAAGCAGGGTCACAGATTCTCATCCTGACACTTATGACAGACCAGTGATGCTGGGGACATATTCTGACCAGGAACTCTTATGACAAGCCAGTGTTGCTGGGGACATATTCTGACCAGGATCTCTTATGACAAACATTTGATGCTGGGGACATATTCTGACCAGGATCTCTTATGACAAACATTTGACAAGTGGGTAATCAGGGGTAGATTTAACAAGAAATTTATATGTAGCAAGCAGGGCTTGCTCCTTTTAAAAGTTACTGGCCCTTCTCCAAACAAACTGACCTATAACTAGATGGTGGAGGCCGAGAAGTGCCCGAAACCTGAGTGAGTGAATGAGTGAGTGTGGTTTTACGCCGCTTTTAGCAATATTCCCGCAATATCACGGCGGGGGACACCACAAATGGGCTTCACACATTGTACCCATGTCGGGAATCGAACCTGGGTCTTCGGCGTGACGAGCGAAAGCTTTAACCACTAGGCTACCCGACCGCCCCCCGAAACCTGAGGTCGTGTGGCCAAGTAGCAATTTTAGAACTCCTCACCCCGAAACGCCTTTTCCTGCACTCTGAGATTAAATCTTGGCCTCCATTTGCCTCATTTCGTGGTGATGTATGAGCAAATAGACAACACATTACAAAATGGCAGCCAATTGTCATTCTACCAAGATGATCAAAATATATCTTTTTTTGAGTTAACCATTCACAAGACCTCATCCCCCCTAAATATTTTCTCATCCAAATTACATGATTCATGAGTAGTGTCCATTTAAATAAAATTAAACATCCATGAAAAGAAGTGAAAGTTTGACTAGCCAGACAGGCCATCTACTTTACGTTTCAGCAAGCCCTTAGTAATCTTAGCTGGCCACGGCCAACAGGCCAGCCGTTAAATCGACCCCTGGTGATGCTGGGGACATAGTCTCACTTGAACTTCCCATTTTGGCTCTAATTCTACAGATTGACAAACATATACATGGTGCATCAAAAACTATTTTTTTCTTACACACAGCCTGTGTGAGATACCTACTTTTCCTGGAAGTCCGTCTCATCGAAGATCTTCTCGTGGTCCGGAATGAGAACGTGGGGGGAACTAAGAACGTCTGATCACCATGACGACGAGGACAACAACCACAGGTGCAAAGGAAAAACACAACATAATAAGCGTGGACAACACAATTTGCAAATAAAACAAAATGAAAAGGAGAGAGAGAGAGTCAGATCAGGTGCAGAGTCTGGAGAGAGGAAGATAGAAATGTTCCATTCAAAGCATAGAAGTGGAAGTCATTATTTTCACTCATTAGTCATGCAAGAAAACTGAATATATTTTTTAAGCATAAGCTGAAGTCTTATTATAAAAATGGAGAACGTGTGAGTTCATGTCCTGCTGAATACTAAATTTGAATTTGAAATTCTACATTTATTATCTGTGAAAAACGGAACAGATCCTGCAATTCCTTACTAGGTCAGGCCAATTGTGTTTCTTGTTTACTTAGTCAATACAGCAAGAGGTAAAAAATTAAAAAAAATTGAAAATGTTTTCTACGTTGATTTGTAGGTCATTTTTTAATAAAATATTTCTAAAAATTAAAGAAAAAAGGAAAAACATTCAATTCAATATCACATTTTGATTAATTTTGGTTTCAATTTTGCAAAACATATTATATATATACACACAGATACAGTGGCTTGTGTGAACATTTTGTAAAACATTTCTTAAAACATTAAACATCATGAATCAAAATTAAACAGGACTGGTAATTGCTTAATATATATGAAAAAGATGAAATAAAAAACCTAAAACACTGAAGAGAAACTACATGCAAAGGAGAACAAATTTAAAACAGTTGAGATTTAAAATTAAATTCAAATACACATTTTCAGAAAGAAATCTGAGTAACATTACAATTGTAACTCAAAATGTCAAACAATTGTTTTTTCTCAATTACTGGAAAATATTTATCAAATTATCGAAAAGAATTCCTTTCAATTTTGGTTAATAGATTTCCATTATTCTGAACATGCATATGGTACACAGATTCTGAAACAGAACTAACCATGCACGAATAGCCTAAGCCTCTACACATGCTGAAATATGTACAAAACTGGTAATACCTACAACAAACTAGATAAAACATATTGTGAGCTTCAACTGCTCATGAAACATACGTTCTAATCAATGCCACTATGCACTGACGAAGCATGCTTAAATAACATCAACAACAAAATATAACACGAGTATAACAGTACATCCTGCCATGCATTTTGGATAACGCATGATGCACTTCTGACTCCGTATCGGCTACCAATGCACTAGGAGTATTCCTGTTAGTTTTCAATTTACCATTATGTTAATTACACTTGTAAAATAATAACAACAATAATAATAACAAAAAATAAAATATATTAAAAAAAAAAGTTATTTATTTTATAGGATCAGAAAATTATACTAAATGGAACTGGTAACATTTCAGGTTTTACATTTTACAGCAATTCTGTTTTATCCTTAGTAAATGTCAATTATTCCTGTTTTAAAATCAATCTGCATATCTGCATATCACAATAAAAATCAAATTATAGCAGTAACACCTATTCATTAATAAATGAGTTTCAGAGCCATAATTTATTAATCACTTATTTTCCTTCTTTTAGACTTAGTTTTTTAGGGGGGGGGATGGGTTTGAATCTGAACTACCCGTCTGGGCCAAACATAACAAACATATTGTTCACAAACCTCTCAACCCTTGACAAAAAGACAAGTGGGAAAAAGTCTGTCTGAAAAGATTTAAACCTCGGACTTCCAAGTTACATATTTAGCACACATGAATTGTGCACACAATATGTTGAATTTTAAGACAAATAAGGAAGTATTTTCCAATTTCATGAAGTACAAAAAGGAAATGTGAAATTGAATAAAAAAAATTATGAAATAAATTTTCATTGTCATATCTTTAAGCCAACAAATACAGTCTGGCCCAAGCAGTGTTGTTTCAATGCTTGGTGTTTTCAGAAATTGAGAACACATATTAATTAATTATGTTACGAGTATATCAACATGCACCTCTATGTCGTTGTTACGGTATATGTTCAAGACACCATTGTACACCTTGTTAGGTACGACTAAATATCCCACTAAATATCATTCATTGCCTCAACACATATTTCATCAAAATGCACCTATATTCAAATATTTAAACCCCCTCAAAATGCAACATTTTGGGCTGATAAGAACATGGGTAAAAATGATGCATATTGCAATTGTCATTGGTTATCAAGTCAATGCATGCATTTCATCGTTTGAACATTTCATATACTCCAAGAACAAACATGCAAACATGTCCAACAGTCTTACAGTCAACCAGGACACTGGTCATACAAACACCGGACATATGCTGGTCATACACTCAAACACCAGTCAAACACTTGTTATACACTCAAACAATGGTCAAACATTCAAATAATGGTCATACACTCAAACACTGGACGTACACTCAAACACCGGTTAAACACAGGTCAAACACTCAAATAATGGTCATACTCAAACAATACGGATGCGCTCAAACACTGGTCAAAGACTCAAACACTGGTCAAAGACTCAAACACTGGTCAAACACTCAAACACAGGTCATACACTCAAACAATGGTCAAACACTGGTGATACACCCAAACACTACACATACGCTAAAACACTGGACATATACTGGTCATACACTCAAATACGTCACTAAGAATACATTAAAACAGATTCAGTAAAAAATGCAAGTTCTTTCATAACCAAATTCTCATGCATTCATTTATTCATTTGCACATGTAAAATTAGCATATGTGGGTTAATATGTATGTAAACTTCCTACATATTCCCTCAAACATTCAAGTCTATCTACATTCATTCCTCCAACATATCTGGGCATACACTGCAACTATCATGCTTGGAAACACATGCTCACATTCTCTGACTTATCTCTGAGACATTTGGTCATAAAATGAAACATTTGGTCAAACGTTCTTATTAAGCAAACTTCATTCAGACTGAAACATTCATATTCTGCAACATTCAGTCAAACACTGTAACATTCAACACAGCTATTACCTAATCCTTTCAATGTTTGCCAACAGTTCAATGTTAACCTTTAGCACAATCTGCATCCGTTAACCCACGTGAACACTTCTCAAGATATATTAGTAAGCATACGTCATGTTGAAATCACCGCTGTCATGCAACTAGCCCCTCCAGCAACACTTACCTGCAACATACCACACACCTTGTCACAAAAAACATAATCCCCCCCCCCCCCCCCCCCCACACACACACACTGAGTATCAGAGAAGGGCAATGGTGGGTCTTTACTTCCTGGTTTACAGGTCAACCAAACAAACATTTCACAAAAGCCTATTTTCCAAAACATATGTATTTGCGAAAGGTAGGCTAACGGGAATGAAAGCAAGAGTTTCCGTCTTAGCCACTAGTCCGAAGCCCGAGTCAAGTTAAATTATATATGGTCTAGTGAGATCAGCTAATAATAGTCCACATAACACTAAACTCTACTGAATGTGATAGGATCCTGGTTGTCTTAAAAGTTACTATCCGACGTGTCGTTCCCCAAAACTTTATTTCCTGTTATTCTATAATCATTTAAAGCACTCAAAAATGCTTCATAATAATTAAAATATCATGTTATAACATTAAAAAAAATAATCTTAAAAATGTTTTTTGTTTTTTTTTAAATCTGTAAAAAAGCTGATAAAGAATTACAATACAGTTTGTTTCAAATAATTTATTATGATCAACTTTACATCCACAATGAAACAATCTCTTAGGAAGATATATGTATAGTGTATATAGTGTATATATACATGGCTAGCACTTGTTGATATATATATATGCTGTATTTAATGGATAAATAGCTCTGTAGATATTTTCTGACATACAAATTGCTTTTCTTTGGAGTAAAGGACATATTTTAATTCAATAAACATCAAAATACAATATAACTAACCAAATATGTTCCTCACTATCAGCCGACTGTTTCTATACGTTAAACATCCATTATCCGTTGTGGATTATATGGAGAAACAGACCATTTTGTAATGCTTCTTCATGAAACCGATGTCTTTATTGTTTTCTAAAGATAAACAGCAAAACAGCAACGATAATTTAAAATCAAAACATTAAAACTAGCTATTTAATCCCTGAAATTGTACGAAACTTCACAATAAAGAGTCTCATGTTTTAGAACAGATATCAAAATAGTGATTAGAAAGCAATTGTGTTTGAATCTGACAATTAAATATAAACAAATGTATGGTTTAAAATAGAAAGATGCTTGCACCAAACTTCTATAAAACCATAAGAGTATAGTATTCAAAAATACTTTCCAAATTTTATGAACAATATTCTTTGGCAAATGAAACTGAATGAGTATTGTTGCGATGAAATTATATACAAATCAAATCACACACCTTAATGAATATGCAATAATAAGGCAAAATAACGTTTAGTACAAACTTCTGCAACTTCTTTCGTTGTGTCTTCTCATTCAAAACGCTCAATCAGGGTACATGTATAGCATTACAAGCCCAAACTCTGGATACTAATCTATACCTTCTTCAAATATTGAGTATATGGCTTGGTGAAAACTACAAAAATAATTCCAAGCAAATGATTTACAACGCTCAATCAGGGTACCTACATATGGTATTACAAGCCCAAACTATTCATACTAATCAAAACTTCCTTAAAATATTGAGTATATGGCTGCATTAAAATGGTAAAAATAATTCTGCCAATTTGAGAATTTGTGGCAGCTACATGTATCCGTGGAATAGGTATATCGTTAATGGCAGTTTCAAAGCCAAGAACACCCTGGACTGGAAGCGTTTACCTGAACACATGTGATTCTCTTGACCAAGGTAAAGCATATAGGCATTTGTGCAACTACTAGACAGATATGTAGTAAAAAAAAATCGATTTATGGTTGCTAGCCGAGGAGTTCTTGCCATTGGTCTTGGATTAAGGGACAAGAAATTTGATTGGATGAAATGAGTGAGTGAGTTGGGTTTAACGCCGCATTTAACATTATTCCAGTCATATCGCGGCGTGTCA